TTTTTTTTTTTTTTTTAATTTTTTTTTAACGTTTTATTTTATTTTTGAGAGAGAGAGACAGAGACAGAGCATGAGCAGGGGAGGAGCAGAGAGAGAGGGAGACACAGAATCTGAAACAGGCTCCAGGCTCTAAGCGGTCAGCACAGAGCCCGACGCGGGGCTTGAACTCACAAACGGTGAGATCGTGACCTGAGCCGAAGCCGGACGCTCAACGAACTGAGCCACCCAGGCGCCCGCACTGGATTCGTTTCTTTTTCAGAAGCATCTTTCACATTGTAGGGCAGGTTGAAACATATGATGTCCGAATCGTACTTCTTTCCTCAGGGAAGACTCAGGTCGTTAGAAGCTTGCCCCCTTCGTCTGGTCTCCCCGTTACAGGACTGCACTGTGTCAAACACCCCACACTGGCACTGCTTTCCGTAAGGGTTGACTGGCAGGTGACAGGTCACATTAAAAGAGGACAATGTGCTCCCCATCCCCCTCCGTCTACAACAGCACCCCTGCCTGGCGTGGTCCCCGCGCCCCAACGGCACGCAACCACCTCAGCTGGTTCTGGGCTTGCCTGCACCCCAGCACCACCCGCTCTGAGTCACAGCACACAGAGGAAAGCAAAAACAAGCCCCTTTGTCTGACGTGTGCCTAAATGAAAGGGGCATTTTCCACATAGATAGGCTCCTTTCAGCGGGACCTGCCTGTGGAGATGTGGACTTGCTGACCGACAGAACTCCCAGCCGTGGTCTGCCTTCCACACACTGTCTCTATACGCTGAAGTGTTCACTCAGCACTTGCAAAAAGATCAGAGAACATAAGCCTCAAGTATAGGCCCCTCGCAAGTGCCTCAGACTGGGGACTGGCTGACACGACCGGAATGACCTTTGCATGGGCAAAATGAACCATCATTTGTACTCTGCTCTGCGTGATTACTGATGGGATTGTGGGTCTTCCAGGGCACTTGACAGTAATTCTAGAAAAACAGGAATCAACGTCAAGTCCAGTCTGTGCCTGCCCCAGGGTCGTTTACTGAGACAGTCATGGTCCCTCTGCCTTCCTGAGCTCATCGGTCATTCCAGACCTCGGGGGCAGAAGAGCCACCAAGCCTGTGGCTTTCTTTCTACTCTCCTGTATGCTCCAGAGATGCAGGAACCAGCCGGACTTGGGGTTTTTATGTGGCTTTGCACCTCCTTCCCCAAGCTTGCACACAGTACGGAAACACTGTTTGAATCAGAGGATGGAGACATTTTATATGGAGAGTGAACAAAGCGGGAGCATTCGCTCTGTTGTAGGTGTTAAGACACGAACAATGGTTAAATTCCTGACAGGGCAGAACCGTGAGCAGGTTCAAGAAAGACGGTTCTGTTTGCAGGGTGACTGTCCTTGCTACCGCAGTCGTGACAATCACAGCTCCAGACACAGAGCACCCACAGGGAGGGAAGGATGTTACACGCATACATTTCACATTCCATGCTGTGTGAGTTACCGGTATTTGAGGCCCGTTGTAAAGATCAGGCAACTGAGCGTCAGGAGTCGACCGTGACTGCTCAGTAAGTTGTACAACTGGGATCAGAAGCCAGGTCTATCTGGCTCCAAGACACGTATTCTTGCCCCAAACCATACCGCCTCCTTGTGCAGGACGACTATTTTCTGAGCTTAAAACAGACTCGAATCTTGATTCCGCATATCCGTATGGGGAAAGTACTGACTGGGCCTTGCTGTTTCTGTCAACTGTAAGACACGAAATTCGAACTGAAGCGCTTGGATCCAAGATGAGGCTGGAGGACTCGAGGTTGGAGACAAAAGGATCACAGAGACAAGAAAACTGGCTGCAGCTGCTGGGTGCTTTCGAGGCCTTCACAGATGGCGTTGAGGCATGCGCCGCCCGTCCGAGAAGCGCCCAAAGAGGCCGTGGACCCGTTACAAAGATTCACTTGTACGAGGAGGTTTCTGATTCCTCTTTTAAGCCGCCTTCGGTTTCAGAGTTAAGTCACCTAAGAAAACTGGTCTTATTGCCATCTAAGCATTTCTTTTTCGTATGCTGTTGCGCCTAAATGAATACTGGGTTTGATCCCCACTTTATCACTTCCTGTCTACTTTCAAAAACCAAATCCACTGTTCAATAATAAAGTCTTCTCACCCCCCAGTGCCTTCCAAAGACTCATAAAGAAATCCTCCAAATGAAAGCTTTCCAAATGCTCAGGGAAATGACCAGAGTCCTCCAAGTAGGTACACAGCATCCCAAGGCGGTTATTTCCAAGGGGGACAACATCTGGCTATCACACGCACTGGTGCCCTTGTTAAAAAGTCCTACTGCAACTTGAAATCTGCAGTTAACTGATAAGCCGGGAGTGGGAAACCTTTGCATCCAGATGGAACGCTGCCGACTGCCTTACTGCTTCCGTAGAAATGCACGGCCAAAGGGTCACTGGCTCCCAGAGCCACCTGGAAAACACGCCTGGCCTGCCCGCTCAAGAAAAGAGCTTCTCCCATGCAGCAGGCGTCATAAGCCTGCGTTCCGCTATTTCTCTGGCCTTGAAAGCCAGCCAAGGGCTCACCACCGTGATGGAAGGTTCCTCCATTTGCACAGAAAGTAAGTTCCAATGTAAGAACCTCAATTTACCTGCATGCTTGTGGGGATGCTGAAGACTTCGCTGGCTTTGAGGGCTGTTTCCCTGTTGTAAGAAGAGGGCCGCTCCTTTCACCATGAAAAAGCTCTCACTTAAGCTGGGAAGAATAAAAGCAGAGCACAGTCAGGCTAGAGTTCAGAGAGGAAAATGGGCAAAGACATGCAGCGGAGGAAAAGCTGTCGTGTGGATGAACGGCGTGTAAGATGCACAGGGGACAGAACCACTTTTATGACCATTTCACACGGCGCTCTTTCCAACCTTGGCTACAAGCCTGCTGCTGAGAGTCTATGTGATGAAATCACGCTACTGCTAAAAGGCCCAAGGTTCTTTGGACTCTTGCAAGGCGGAGCGCCCCCTTCCCGCAGGATATGGCGAACCAGCTCCCCGTAACACAAAATCTTCTAAAAACAGAGACCAACTCTCTGATTGAGAGGGGGCGGTTCCCTCTGTGAATTTTTCGCGGTCTTGCTGTGCAATCTTTGTGACTCCCTGACTTAAGGCAACTTCACTGGTCTTGGTGCCTTCCCTTGACTGAATATAAAGAAGAGGAAATTATACTTTCACCATTTGTTTGCAAGTGGGTGGCTAGTGACCTGTGATTTAACTTAGTCAAGGCGACTGTGTCCCTACTGCTGTAGAAAACCTCCGCTGACACCATGAATCTCTCAGCAGTGAATCATTGATCTTTGCTATTTTAACCAGCAATAACACTTACATTCAACATACAACTCAAAAAGTTACAATTTAAATGTTTAAAATTTCATCTTTGCGATTTGGCGGCTATCAGAAAAAAAATGAACTACTAGTTACTACCAATTGTTAAAAAATACCATTAATGCTAAAAATTACCCATAAAATACACCAAATTAACTGTTTTTTTTTGTGGGGAGGGGGTGGAGGGTGTATCACCTATGATTACCTTCTTTTTATTTCTTAGTATCTTCTGAATTTTCTGTACTGAGCAAATATTAATGTTTTTGAATGATTATTTTTTATTTGATTTTCAGAGTAATAGAAGACATGTACCACACATTACAATGGAAAAGCACTTTATTTCTATTAATTTTGTGAAAGATCACGTTTCAGTTTAGGGAACTGTAAAAATCATTAATTCTCTCTTGAGCAACAATTAACATATAAATGACTTAAAAGGAAACTCTAAGAAAAAGCAGCACTGTGTGTGTGTGTGTGTGTGTGTGTGTGTGTGTGTGTGTGTGTGTGTCTTAACAGAAAGCAGATCGATTCCTGACAGAAATCTAGGAACGTTTTCCTAAACAGAAAAAAAAACAAGATCACCTTCACCCCAGATGTCTCATGGAAGTAGTTAAATGTTCTAAACCCTGGAATAAAAAATTCGACTAGGTCTAATATACTAGGTGCTAAGAAAACTCACCACATGGAACTCAGCGGCTCCTGGAATCAGGAAGACAGTGATCTTCCATAATATGAAGTCCACAATAAAATCTGTGACTTTTGCTGGTTGAATTCTCACGCTAAAAATAGCGACTGCTCAAATACCAAGCGATAAGGCTGAGTGGGGCCGTGGAGTAACTGACAACCGGTTTTGTAGATTTCATAATACTGTTCCTTTACATCCGAGTAACTTCTCTCCACTTACTGTCCCCAAGAGTGTTGCCAAGCTACCCTTTCCACTCTATCAGCTGTATATCTGTGCTGCCAGTTTCAAGAGCTGGGGAGCTCAGGATTATAAACATTGAAAGAAGGGGGCGCCTAGATGACTCAGTAGGTAGAGCACGGGACTCTTGATCTCGGGGTTGTAAGTTCAAACCCCAGGTTAGGCAAAGAGATTATTATTATTTTTTTTAATTAAAAAAATTTTTTTAACGTTTATTTATTTTTGAGACAGAGAGAGACAGAGTGTGAACAGGGGAGGGGCAGAGAGAGAGGGAGACACAGAATCTGAAACAGGCTCCAGGCTCTGAGCTGTCAGCACAGAGCCCGACGCGGGGCTCGAACTCACAGACTGTGAGATCATGACCTGAGCCGAAGTCGGACGCTTAACCGACCGAGCCACCCAGGCGCCCCTAGGCAAAGAGATTATTTAAAAATAAAATCTTAAAAAAAAAAAATACTGAAAGAAACGAGGAGCATCCTTTCCTTAGTTCAGTCTCACCAAGGGAGGCAAAAAGCTCTTCAGTGCCTATCTGGCCAATTTCAAATCCAAGCTCTTACTTCGGCTGGTTGTGGAATGGCCCAACACTCCCCTACTCCTAAAACTTGTCACCCTCTCCTTCTTGAAAATTTTCCAACCTTATTTTCAGAACTATTCAGACAGATCTGTTTCAACACAGATCACTTACTACTTATTCTCATCAAAATTTGAAAGGGCTGCCCACGAAACTTACAAAACAACCATCGGTTCACGGAAGGAGCCAGGGAAAATCTTCACAAAGCAAAGCAACATCAACCATTTTTTGTTCATCAATTAAAAAAAAAAAAAAAAAAAAGGAAAAGAAAAAAAATATCCATACTGACCAGAAGCCTTAACACTCTGGAAACAGCCAGCCATTAACAGTGACCTTTGCCTTGGGAATCATGGGCAAAAATTCCCCTGGGATTCCCTTACATTTCCTTTGGGGGGAAAAAAAAGGGAACGATGCAAAAGAACAGGCTGGTTTTATCCCGTGATTGTGATTGCTTACAAGGCCGGTGGTTCTTCAGTGTTCCTGGGACAGATAAAGAATCAGCCTCCCATCTCCGAATGAAGTCAGGGGCCTGTGTGGATGGGGGCCCTTGGAACACTGCCTCCATCCTCAGGGCAATCAGGCACAGGCATTTACCGTAAAGAGCCAGATTTAAAGCGGCAGGGAAGTCCACAAAGCACATTATCTATCCCAGGCCTGTGAGACGGCTGGGGAGACAGTAGACAGAGGCGGCAGGAGGGTAACCGCAGAAGATGACTTCTGGGGCCGAGAGGCTGTGGAGCATGGGCAGTCACAGGATTTATGGAAACAAAATGCAGATATTCTCTGCGACTCTGTTTCCTGTCTTTTGCTCTGAGCTCACTCCAGGCCCTGAGCCTCACGTGCCCTCTGGGTGGCTAATGAGAACACTATTTCCCGCTGCCAGGGCTATGTTGGGTTCTCTGTGCCAGGCTTCTAATACCCAGAAGTGATTTGTGAGCCTAAAGGCACAGCACTGGGGGTGTCCTTTACGAAACTCATTTTGGAGGGGGACCGGGGTGGCTCTGGGTTCTAGCTCAGGTCATGATTTCACGGTTCGTGAGTTCGAGCCCCACATCGGGCTGTGCACTGACAGTGCAGAGCCTGCTTGGGATTCTGTCTCCCTCTCTCTGCCCCTCCCTCGCTTGCTCTCTCTTTCTCAAAAATAAATAATAATAAAAAAAAAAAAACCTCAAAAAAAAAGGAAAAAAAAGAAATTCATTTTAGAGGGGCGCCTGGGTGGCTCAGTCGGTTGAGTGTCTGACTTCAGCTCGGGTCATGATCTCACAGCTCGCGAGTTTGAGCCCCACATCTGGCTCGCTGCTGTCGGCACAGGGTCCGCTTCCGATCTTCTGTCCCCCTCTTTCTGTCCCTCCCCCGCCCCCCTCTCACAAAAAAAAAAAGTGAACAGAATTTCATTTGGGGGATGGCACACCTACTTTAGTGGGTTCTCGGAGTAAGTGCAGACCCACAAAACACCATCACAGCTACAGAAAAACCAATCCTCTCCCCAAAAATGTCGGTGTCCTAGAAAGTATAAGTGAAGTTCCAGAGAGGTCAGACGGTGACAAATAAAACTGAAGTGTTCTCCCTCACTTTAAGACAAATCCTGATGGGAGATTAAAAACAAGTTCAGCCCTGGCCCTCCCTGCCCACCCCCCACCCCAATGCTTTTATCTCCCACAGTACAAATAAATATGTTCTCAAACACTGGTTAACTGCCTGTTTCAGGAGACGATGCAGGATTAGTTTTCTCCAAGGCACTAAGGACACGCAGGATTAGTTTTCTCCAAGGCACTAAGGACAGACAAAAGCCTCAAACAATGCTCCTCGAAAAACCCCAGCCCTCACAGCATGAACAGCCAGTGTCACCCCGAAACTGATACGTGGTAGGAAGAGATCAGGTGGTGATACGTACTAATTTGGGCTGGAAGCTTCTGAAGAGCGGAGGGTGTGAGCCCGCTGAAGGGAGACGCAGAAGTCAGTGAAATAAAAAAGGTTCATGATAGCCTGGTTCACATCTTCGACTGCCTCCAGCTCCTGCCTCGCACTCCCTCCGGAGAAAGGAGAGAGGGAAGGAAGGGGCCAGGAGTCCTTGGGCAGGAGTTCTCGTCCGGATGATGTTCCCACCCAGGGGGCAGATGGCTCTTGTGGGACTCTTGTCTTCCCCTGATATTTGGGTTTAAAAAGGCCCTTGTCCCTGCATATCCTGATGAAAGAGGGCCATTCAGAGAGCGCAAAACAGCTGAAGTTCCTGTAATCACTTTCCTCCTACGGCTTTTGTAGGCCTTAGGAACAAGCCGCAGGGTGTGTGTTCGGAATTGTGAGGGGAAACAGCTGGCCGCCAAGTAACAAATCCAGAGCAGCGAGGACCCCGGCTCTGCTCGAAATCGACAGGCTGAGGGACTCCTGTTTCTGTCACATCGCCACCCATTCACCCAACGGTGACCCGTGGGCAGCCGCCACAGTCAGTCCGTGTGGTCACAGCGTCTTACATTCTGAAAATTCTTCAGTTATGCTAACTGCTGCCTGAGGAGGCAAACAGAGGGCTGAGGGGGGAGCATCCAGGTAGAGGGAACCCCGCGTGCACACACAGGCGTTGCTCAGAGAACCGCAGGCCCGGTGCCCAGGGCAGGGCTGCAGAGGTAAAGCAGGCCCAGGTCCCCAAGGGCCCGGCACGGGACCCCGAAACCCGAAACCCGCCCGCAGGAGCCAGCGGGCTCTGTGTGTTTAGCACTTCTTTTGGCCCGTGAAATAAATTAAGGACACGAATAGCCACACTGCGGGGCAGAAGGGGATAAGCGCCCAAAGACAGGGGTCCTGCTGGTGTTCAAAGAGGGGAGAGGGGAGCCCCTAACTGGTGCTTTGGAACACTCCTGGGGAGGCCTTGTCTGGAAGCTTCCCCTGGCTCCCAGAGGATAAATTAATCGTCATGAGAGAATTAAGTGGGACACACACAATTATGCTGCAGTGGAGGAAACTACGGCCTGCCGAGGGGCATGACATCTTTACGAGTTGGGACTAGACCCCAAGCCCACAGTCGTAAGTCCTGTGGTGCCCGTGGTCGCCCGCCAGTTCTGAGTGAGAATCAGAGCCATTACCCTGATATCACCTCTGCCCTGGCGGCTTTGGTTCCGCTAAAGCACACATCACAGAAGTCAAGATCTGGTCCGTAGCAATTCTTCCCAGCAGGTGAAAGCTTTGTGCGAAGGAAACAGACAGAAGGTATAATTCAGGGAAACGGGGTCCAGGAGGAGACTCAGGGCCAGAGCTCTCCTACCGGGCCTGGCGAGGGGGGCCACTGCAATCACCCTGCCTGCTGCCACCCACCATCGCCCGGCTGTGGGGTGGGGCACAGTGCCTGGTCCTTGTGGGCTGAACGGGAATGCGGACAAGGAGCTCTGCGGGCAGCACAGCCCCGCCGGTCGAGAAGCGGCTTTCAGCGCAGGCTTCTTATCAATAGTACTGTCATTTGCTGAGCGCCACCACGTGTGCGTGGCTCCCAGAGCTCTGCAGGGCACGCGTCACCTTTTTCAAACGACAAGTGAAGGTAGTCAGACAAACTCCTCAAATACAGCCTCCGGGGACAATCTCATTTTTAACCAACCCCCTTAGTGATGCTGGGGCACATGGGGGTTAAAGAACAGAAAATGTACTGGTCTGGGGATCCATATTTCAGGGTTCTAATCCTGTTCTACTGTATGTTTGTTCTGCTGGTCACTTACAGGGCTCTGTTCATTCATTCAAATGGCCAAATATTCGCAGACTGAGGAGTACAATGTAAAGCCAAGCCTGTCCTAATGTCGATAAAGGCAGAGATAACACTCCTTTTTAAGGAGCAGGTGTTTGTGTGGGTGGTTCGGGTGTGTGCTGAGCCACTCGGAACAACTCCTTGAAAAACGGAAATAGGAGGGATAGAAACCCCACATCACAGCCATATTATGCTACTGCCCCTGGTTTCCAACTCTGGCTACACATCTGAACAACCTACAGAACTTCCAAAACACAGTCATGCCCGGGTCCAGCCTCAGCCGATTCTCACTCGAAATGTCTGCCATAAGTCCAGGCATCTGCTTTTCAAAAAAGTTCCGGGAGAGGGGGCGCCTGGGCGGCTCAGTTGATTGAGCGTCTGACTTGGGCTTGGGTCACGATCTCACAGTTCACGGGCTCAAGCCCTGCATCGGGTTCTCTGTGGTCAGCGTGCAGCCTGCTTTGGATCCTCTGTCCCTCTCTCTCTGCCTCTCCCCCGCTTGCCTGTGTGCATGCACTCTCTCTCTCCTTTTCAAAAATAAACATAGACATTTTCAAAAAGTTAAAAAATAAAATAAAGTAAATTAAAAGTTCCAGGAGTACTTCTGATGCAGAGCCAGAACCCTGGACTTTAACAGTAACAGAAAACACAGAGAAGAGAGCCTTCCCACACGGGATTGCTAACAGTACCTTACACACTGCAGGTACATGATAAATGTTTTCTGCTGGTAAAAAATAACACCAATAAAAATGCATGGTCCTCTCAGGAAAGTAACACGACTCAGTGCCATGAGGAGAGGTCACGCCAGGTCAAAGAAAAGAATACCCTCCTTGGAAGCAGCCAAACAAGTGACAAAGAAATGCACGTGCCGGTCTTCTACCAAATACGTTCAGTGACAGCGTCCT